CGCGAAGTCTAGGGCAGTTGTTGCGTGGGAAGTGTTGGGTGCCGTGGGAACTTGTGTCGTCTTTGAAGAACTGGGCGTTGATGAGTCGAACCCTTCTGACGTTTGGAAGATTCAGTCCTTCGTTAAGCATCCGGGGATTAATGATGCAGTCATCAATCCTAATTTCTTCGAGACTAGGTGCCGCGTCGAAAAGACCAAAACAGGCGCTAAAACACAGCGAGCATTGACGCCGTAGATACTGCACTCTGAGAATCTTCAGGCTCAATAATGGAGTTTCCCTCAACCGTGTGAAGTAGGATGCGTCCTCAATGTCAGAGAGACGTAAGTAGAGTTGAGTAAGGTTCGGCAGCACGTAAAACAGGTAACGCAAGATGACTGCCTCATCGCTCCCGTGACCATAGGTCAGATCTACGTCGGATTGTGACAACTTTCGTCTGAGGTACGGGAGAGTCTTCTCCGAACAGACGTATCGATCTGCGGTTGTGTCCAGCAAGAGGACCCTTACACCAGAAGCAGTTGGGTTTTGGTCAATTGAGCGGACAATGGCAACCCATTCCCACCTGCCTATGTCAATTTTTAGACAACGTGGTAACTGACCAAAGTCATTAGACAACAATGCGGCGTATTCTTTCGCTTGGACTGGCTCACCTTGTTTTGTCTTGTGGATAGCGCTTCATTGATACTCATCGTTGTTGTATTTACTTGGCGGAGAGATGAAAGTCAGGAGATCGGACGATAGTAGAACAGCAGAGACAACAGTTGTCGACTCGCATGGGATATAGATTTGATCGTCCTGCCGCGTATTGCATAAACACACCATCTCAACGATAGCCACCATCTGTACACAGATCACAAGCGTTTCAGCTCCTTTTTGTAACAAGCGTTGGGGAGGAAACGAACGTTTGTCACAGTATGGCCGACTAGCGGACAGATGTTATACGTCCTTAACAAATGGACGAACACCAATAACCATTGTAGTTAACTCATCTAAGTCAGACAATCGCAGCAAAAAAAGAAAAGAAAAAAATAGCCAAGCAGGATGAGCTACTATCCGTTACCAACACTAGTGGCGTTGAGCCTTTAAATTGGCTGACGTAGGTAACAGCCGCGATACAACATACTATTGTATGTAGAAGTCTTCTGACCAGTCGGTCAGTAACCGATCTTTGAAGATTTGGCTTTTGATAACCAAGTGGAGACGCCGATGCGAGATAACATAGTTCCCGCGATTCACCAATCGGCATGGATTCTTTGCACAAAGCAAGCTAGAGAGTGGGGTGAAACCATACAGAGCGGAACAGGCGGCGCTGGGAAGGCAATCAACACTCACTGGCAGCATCCAGCTTCTGGTTCGGGCGGCTTTTGACCCACCTCGCAACCCCAGCTCGTAACATCCGGAACTGCTTGGCATGGAGAACACCGCCATTCCACCGGCCAGACTCTTAGACTCATCAGTGCCAACAGGTGCCGCAGCTTAACCTCCCAGTCTCGTTTCGGGGTGATGGCGGGTGCCGTGCGTCTGAGAAAGGTCCCAGGGAGATGCCAGTTTCGTTACACCTCAGTAAATATTGTGCGTCTTTCATCTACTAAAACCCGATTATAGGATATTGAGCTTACTTCTGACCATGTAGGAGGTAGATATTGTTATTGGACGGAATGGTAGATGATAGGGCCCATGCGAAGGATCACACAGTAGTGAACAATGATGAGTGTAAAGCATCATATGATCAAGGCCTACTAAAGTGCGATCTCGATGATATTGATTAGGAGCACGGCAGTCGTAAAGGAGTGATGCGAGCAAACAGATACACATAACGACAGGAATACATCGAGGGAAACGATTTCTGTCATGTGCCAAGGCACGGAGCCACTCGCCAGTTAACGTCCTCGAGCCTTATACTCCACTGCGCCTATCCCGCCGCATAGTCCGTTGGCCATGCGCCCGTGATAATCACAACGGTCCATTCTGAAGATTCGCATCTCGTTAGCCTCATGGGTAGTGTC